ATTTTCCCATGTATTTTACCAGGAAACATAGAAAGGGCAGCCTAGAAAAGTCAGTGCCCTCCTAACCATACCCAAGCACCCCTAGTTTGTTGTCGATGTCCATTTTGCTCTAGGAGTTCACGGTGACGTAACCCTAACCCTAAGTGGAATTTTCCTACAATGGAATATTCCCATGTATTTTACCAGGAAACATAGAAAGGGCAGCCTAGAAAAGTCAGTGCCCTCCTACCCATACCCAAGCACTCCTAGTTTGTTTCCGATGTCCATTTTGCTCTAAGAGTTTACAGTGACGTAACCCTAACCCTAAGTGGAATTTTTCTCCAAAGGGATTTTCCCATGTATTTTACCAGGAAACATAGAAAGGGCAGCCTAGAAAAGTCAGTGCCCTCCTATCCATGCCCAAGCACTCTGAGTTCGTTGGCGATGTCCATTTTGCTATAGGAGTTCATGGTGACGTAACCCTAACCTAAGTGGAATTTTCCTCCAATGGGATTTTCCCATGTATTTTACCAGGAAAAATAGATAGGGCAGGGTAAAAAATTCCGTGCCCTGCTAAGCATACCCAAGCACTCTGAATTTGTTGTTGATGTTCATTTTTCTCTATTAGTTCATGGTTTCCTAAACCTAAACCTAAGTGGAATTTTCCTCCAATGGGATTTTCCCATGTGTTTTACCAGGAAACAAGAAAGGGCAGCCTAGAAAGTGAGTGCCCTTCTAACCATACAAAAGCACTCCGAGTTTTTTTGGCGATGTCCATTTTGCGCTAAGAGTTCCGGTGACTGAACATAAACCCTGAAGTGGAATTTCCTCCAATGGTGATTTTCCCATGTATTTTACCAGGAAACATAGAAAGGGCAGCCTAGAAAAGTCAGTGCCCTTCTAACCATACTCAAGCACTCCTAGTTTATTGGCGATGTCCATTTTGCTCTAAGAGTTCACAGTGACGTAACCTTAACCCTAATTGGAATTTTCCTCCAAAGGGATTTTCCCATGTATTTTACCAGGAAACATAGAAAGGGCAGCTAGAAAAGTCAGTGCCCTCCTAACCATACCCAAGCACTCCGAGTTGTTGTCGATGTTCATTTTGCTCTAGGAGTTCACGGTGACGTAACCCTAACCCTAAGTGGAATTTTCCTACAATGGGATTTTCCCATGTATTTTACCATGAAACATAGAAAGGGCAGCCTAGCAAAGTCAGTGCCCTCCTAACCATACCCATGCACTCCTAGTTTGTTGGCGATGTCCATTCTGCTCTAAGAGTTCACAGTGACGTAACCCTAACCCTAAGTGGAATTTTTCTCCAATGGCATTTTCCCATGTATTTTACCAGGAAACATAGATAGGGCAGCCTAGAAAGGTCAGTGCACTCCTAACCATAACCAAGCACTCCTAGTTTGTTGGCGATGTCTATTTTGCTATAGGAGTTCATGGAGACGTAACCCTAACCCTAAGTGGAATTTTCCTGCAATGGGATTTTCCCATGTATTTTTCCAGGAAAAATAGATAGGGAAGCCTAGAAAGGTCAGTGCTCTCCCAACCATACCCAAGCACTCCTAGTTTGTTGGCGATGTCCATTTTGCTCTAGGAGTTCACGGTGACGTAACCCTAACCCTAAGTGGAATTTTCCTCCAATGGGATTTTCCCATGTATTTTTCCAGGAAAAATAGATAGGGCAGCCTAGAAAAGTCAATGCTATCCTAACCATACCCAAGCACTCCGAGTTTGTTGGCGATGTCCATTTTGCTCTAGGAGTTCACGGTGATGTACCCCTAACCCTAAGTGGAATTTTCCTCCAATGGGATTTTCCCACTTTTTTACCAGGAAACATAGATAGGGCAGCCTAGAAAAGTCAGTGCCCTCCTAACCATACCCAAGCACTCCTAGTTTGTTGGCGATGTCCATTTTGCTCTAGGAGTTCATGATGATGTAACCCTAACCCTAAGTGGAATTTTCCTCCAATGGGATTTTCCCACTTTTTTTACCAGGAAACATAGATAGGGCAGCCTAGAAAGGTCAAGGCTATCCTAACCATACCCAAGCACTCCGAGTTTGTTGGCGATGTCCATTTTCCTCTAGGAGTTCATGGAGACGTAACCCTAACCCTAACTGGAATTTTCCTCCAATGGGATTTTCCCATTTATTTTACCAGGAAACATAAATAGGGCAGCCTAGAAAGGTCAGTTCACTCCTAACCATACCCAAGCACTCCGAGTTTGTTGGCGATGTCTATTTTGCTCTAGGAGTTCATGGAGACGTAACCCTAACCCTAACTGGAATTTTCCTCCAATGGGATTTTCCCATGTATTTTACCAGGCAACATAGATAGGGCAGCCTGTTTCCCGCTTCCTCTTGGGGTTTTTACTGGGCTCCCAACCTTACTCCATTTCCATCCCTGTCTCTTTAAAAGGAAAAACCTTAACCTCACTGAAAGTGCCCAAAAAAAAGGGTGGGGGGAATCCTCAAGGACAACTTACCTGTTTTCTCCCAGTTTTCTCCTTTCTCTTACCTCTGGGCGGGGGGTGGGCTGTTTACGGCAACCTGGAGAGGAAAGGAAGAAATCTCCTACCCTTCCTAACCCTGACTTGTTTTGGACGAAGGTCTACAAAGTTAGATGGACGGCGAACAAAATAATAAAAGCCATTAGTTGCAACTTCTCACGTCTCATCCCTTTTATCCATCCTTTAAATGATAAACCTAGAAGGGAACGATAGGTTATACACATTTTCAAAATAAACTGCATTTATTTTTTATACTTTTGAAGCAGATTTCTTCTTCCGCGCCTGCGTTGCAGCAAACGGGCCTCCCCTGGCCCTAGTAATAAGGTGTTAATACCGTTAATAAAATAAATAACTTCCCCTCTCCCAGGAAACAGGCGGTGGGAGCATAAGCATAAGCATAACCCAAGCAAAGCAACAGAATAAGAGACGTGGAGTTACAACTAGAATTTAACAGAATATCTCTCTGCAGCAAAAAAAATGGAAAGCATCTCCTAAATTCTGCATGTAATCTTTATTTTATTTTGCATTTATAAAATTTTCAGTTTTTTTTAAAACAGCATTTTAAGCATTTTCCTGCTCAACAAGATAAAGTTCTCTGTTGGAAGAAGGGACGATCCCCATCAGCACCCCAGAGGTGGCTGATGGGACTTGTAATCCAGTAGAAGCCCAAGTCGCCCTCTGTTCTCTCAATCCTAAAAAGCACAGCTGCAAAAATGATGGGGATATTTTAAAAAATGGGCCTTTGCAACGGGAGAGGGGGGTGGTGGGAGGCAGCCTCTCAGGCACAAGGCTGCCTGACGAATGGGATTTGTAGTCCAAAGGGTCCCCGGGCGGGGCGAAGGCTCGAGGAGGAGGCATTACGCAGGCTAATTATCTTCACCTGTGCGGGCCGAGGCACACCTGACCGTGATGAGCAGCTTCCCGCGCGGCGGCCGTCTCCATGGCACCCGCTGCGCGAGCTGGGAAAATAG